TGGGAGTCGATCTGGGGGGAGGTACAGGGTTGCATCAGTCCATTGGCGATGAGCAGTTGTATTATGCATCACTGATTTTATTTTGTTGGTGGCATTTTCCTTTCACTTTTATTATCCATTAGCATTTTACTTCATTCTGCTCTTTATTAAACTGTTCTTATCTCAACCTACATATTTTATTTTATTTTCTCCTTCCCATTCCTCCAGGTTGAGGGGGAAGGGGGGAGGAGGGAGTGTGAGCAGCTGCGTGGTTCTTGACTGCTGGCTGGGGCTGAACCATGACATGCACTTACATTCCTAAACATGCCCATAGATTAGAGGAGTGAAAAGTCTAACTGTGGGTCACCGAATTGTCACATTCTGTGTTCTGAAAGGCTCCTCAAGTGTAGCAGTTGTCAGGCAGACTGGCACCATGTAAGCTGGATGCTCTGTCTGAGAAACTCTAGCTTGTGTCAAGAACTGATTACTGAAAATTTCTCTCGACCATCTAAACTCAGTCCTTTTCTCAGCTGAGGTAAATGCTAAAAACATACTGAATTCAATGGAACTGGAATCTCACCCTCAGAATTTCTGTAGGTTTCTGCAATTATTATTATTTTCATCATAAGGTACAATTTCTATGTGTTGCCTATTTTCATATTCAATGAGTAAACAACTGCCAGCAAATCAAATCAGCATCAAGTGACTATTCCTTCAAGAAGGAAATACACCTTTTAGAAACCTAAGCCCTCTTTTTAGTGCTTGGAAACAAAGACAACATTGTATTTTATTTTGTTCGTGGTTATGTAAAACTCCTGTTCATATTAACTGGATGGAAGTATGAACAGAAGCACTTACTGATGGATCTGGATCATAATTAAGGCTGTTCAAGGCAATTCCATTTGGTGATACACTGACAGCATCCTGAATCATCCCACTGAAGTCCATTACTTGGCCCTAAAGGAGAAAATAATGTTGTAATAGACTTTACCGTTATGGATGCTCTACTGTTAAAAATACATTGGACCAAATTTTGCTTGCAGTTACAGCAGTGGCTTTCCTTACTGCATATACAGTCCTAATTCTGGCAAAAAATGACTGTAAAATCTGTGGTAGAAATGAGAATAAAACACACATCTCGGTCATTGCAAGAATTTAACTGCAAAGCCTCTCATGATCTCATTCAGGAATTCAAAATCTATCTCCGGTTTTAGCTACTACCACTGGGTTTTAAAAAGAGAAATATTCTCCCTTTTTGAGTATGTTTGAATAGTATTTAATACCCAAAAAAGCCCCCTATGCAAAGAACTATTACCCAAATCATAGAATTGACCCTTCAGCTGACTATACAGGAACATCTGAATAACAAGAGACACAGAAAGCTAATGTTTGATATTTTTTAAAAACTGCATGTTTTTTTCTACATACATAATCCTATGACAAATCACATACCACGTTTCCACTAACCTTTCTTGGGTGAGTGCTGTCTCCTCCACTTTTGCTGATTGCTGAGATACTTAAGCCAAAGTCAGATTGTTCCAGAGTAAGTGCACTGTCATTACTCTAAAGAAAAATTAATTTTAAAACAAGTGTGTTGACAAGTAGATGAATAGCAGATAGCACATTATAGGTATCATCCCACCTCTTTATACATGCCCAGATGACTTGTATAATTACATGGAAGTTTCAAGAGTAATCCCCCATTTGTCAGGCAAACACCACTCTACAGTTAGACTTCATCTGACTGGTGACAGCAGTGAAAGCCATGGCTGTAGAGCTCAGCATTCAAGTAATTTCAGGTACAGAGCTTCCATTCTAAGTTGCAGAAAAGTGCATTTTACATAATTACAAGAAGCAGCACTTGTGAACAGTGGGAATGACAGGCAAGTGCAAGGCACAGCATGTCAACTCAGAAATGGGGACCCATTTTAGGATTGTAAATTACTTTGCTTTTCACTTCACAGTGAATATCAAATTTTCACAATTATTGCTGTAAAATCCAAAAGGTAATGTTTTGGGGTTTTTTTAGGGGCAAGAACAGGTCAGAGATGAGCTCCTCTTGGTGCAAGAATATAGACAAGCCTTTAAAAAAAGCTGTAACAGACACAGTGCTTGCCCACCAACCTACTGTTCCTGCCCCACCCTCTGTAAGAGAGGATAATAAAGTATATCTTAGCAAATGAGACTCTTAAACCTGAAAATTACAGAGCCAAATTACTCCCCCAGTCTCAAACACTTTATGCACTGTGAAGATGCTTGCAAGTGGCACCAGACTTTCTCCTTGATTGTTTTGTTTTCTAGCACTAGAGGATGAATATACTGATATTAATGTGAGAACTCTGATTGCTTTCAGTATAGTTTGGATTATATGATTCCTTTTCCTCTAATATTTGCCTGTGACTTGTCCTTCAACTCACAGCCATAAAGTGTATTCTCTTGAAGTCTTGCACCTATAATCTTTAAATTACAAAATCAGTAAAGCCCATTAGTTGCAATATTAATTGCATAACTCCCATCCTCTTGCTGCCTATAGACTCTCAAAATAAAATCACATTAATTTCCACTGCTGCCAAGAAAAAATATGTTTCAACCTACCTCCTTGGTAGATGATTTAGATCCTAGTGTAATCCCAGGTGAAGTCTTTGACACTGGTTGTTGCACTGTCTGTTGATTGAGCCTTGGTAGAGTATGAGAAGAGCTTGTTGCCCTAGAATTAGAGAAATAATTAAAGACTTTCATAACTTCTTTCTTCCTTCAAAATAACAAAAGATTAAAAGGTAGAGTTTTCAAATGAAGCAGTCTTGGGCTAACTTTGCTCCCACGGAAGTTAGGGCATCAATTTAAATCACAGCAGCGTTCAATGCTTACTGCTTTCGAACACCCTACACCACCTAATCCACACTGCAGAGACTCTGTAAATTGTCTGTCTCTCCATTAGGGAAATAAGTCTCTATTTTCTCTAACAGATGCACCACATAGTCAGCAGCATGGCTCTAGGCTTTAGTGTTCCTATGGTATCACAACATTATTTTAACCACACTGCTATTGCTTTTATAGGAAACTTTTCTACCCAGAAAAACACCTCATGTCTTTCTCTTACCTTCTTGGCCTTCCTCCAGATCTCAGCTGTTGTTTATTTTCTGCTGTGGCAAAATTAATTTTAAAATGAAGAATCATTAAGGATATAAAAAAGGGCAATTTGACTTTTCTTTTTCCCCTTCAAAAACATTTTTGAGCACACATTAATAACCTTGGAAATAACAATGCATAAACAGGAACAGTGTGATTATAAGCACTGCAAACTTGCAAAAGCTTTTTGAAAAGAAACTGATATTGGTGAGAGCAGTTTTGCTTCAAGTTTATTACATTCTAGGCTCACTCAGTCTCTGGTTTCTCTGCTTACATTTTAAAACCAGTATCATGTTCACAGTAAAATGGACACTACCAGAAATTAGATTACACACAGTAATTTAATATATTACACAGAATGCTTATTTAATGCTAATAAATTTTCATTGCTGAATTGGGAAATATGAATTTGCTTCACTCCTCTTAAGAGTAATCATGTTCAACATAACAAGGCAGCATAAATGCCACATTGCAAGAGTGGTTATCAAGCTATGCTATTTTTTTGCATTTATATAATTTGAAACAATTGCTTTCAAAGAAAAGCTTCTTTCACAAAATGTCAAACTTGCAAATCCCAGGTATGAACTCATAAAGCCAATGGTTTGTACCCTACCAGCATGCCCTTGGTTGTTCCAAACCACATCTCCTATCAGTGTTCTCTGTACAATGCTTTCCACTCAAGATTCTCACAAC